TATAACGCATTACTATAGATAATAAAGCCACAACAAAGGTAGTTCTCTAGATAATCTTACACTAACTATAGGTACTCTAGTAACATACTATAAAAAAAACTATTTATTAAGATATTTTCTACTATAAGCTTAATATTATAATCTATACTCTCTCTATATAGTAGTAGAGTATTAGAATTCTTTTTTAAGAAATAGGCTATAGTTGCGCTAGTATATTCTAGAGATAAAAGCTTTTTAGTAACTAGTTAGCGAAGTTTCTTCTCTAGATTAATAACTAGAGTTTTCTTTCTATTAGTAATAAGCTAATTAACCTTATAGATACTAAGGTGCCTAATTATAGTATCTTTTTAACGCGCGTTAATTATAAAGGTAGCTACGCTAATTATATTAATATTAAGTCTAGCCTTTAAGTATGTTTTCTATAAAATAGGTAGCTTTTTTAGCTTATAGAGTAACCTACTAGGTAGGTTAAGATTCTTAAGCTACCTATCTATCTTGCGTAGGTTTTCTTAAAGCTTCTAGCGTTATAATTCTCTCTTCTCTTATTATATTACTCTTAGCTTTTCTACTACTAATATTAGAGCGTTACGGCGATTAGTATTAGCTTAGTAAGCTGCTTAAGCTTTAGTAGTAGATTAAGGGGATTATATAGAGACAAACACGTCGCGTTTATAATTAATTAATTAGTTAGTGTCTAGCTATATTAGTACGCACTACTTATAGTTAACCTAAACGTTAACTTCTTTAAGTAGCTTATAACTAATTATTATATTATAGCGGTTAGTATTATAATATACAAAGTAAGTATAAATTTAATAGCTTTCTAGTACTAGATTAGCTTTAAAATACTTATCTACTTAGCTATTAGGTTGCCTATTATACCTAGTAAGAGAGATTAGTTCTATACGCAACAACTTAACATAGAGGTTTTTTCTAAGAGTTTAAAGATACTTTAGGTGTACTAAGACGTAGCTACTCGCTTCTATATTAATTAAGCCTCTAAGCTTAATAGCAAGGCTATTTATAGAGATTTAGTAGAGTAGAGTAAACGTAGAACTACTAAATAGCTTTTCGCGTAGGTTAATTACTCTAGTAGGTAGCTCTAGAGAGAAGACTTCTTCTAGAGCTAGGCTTTTTCTAAATTATTAGATTTACATTCTAACGTGTTATTCTTAGGTGCTTATAGCTCTATAGGCTCTATAGGCTTTTTCTCTAGATTAATATTCTTAATAGCTTTCTGCGTAGTAGAAGCTCTAGAGTAATTATAGCTTAGGTAGCTAGGTTAGTAGCATTAAAAATAGGTAACTAGCTTCTAGATTACTAGAGCTTTATTAGGTGCTAGAAAACCTAGAAGAGCTAGGGGCGCGTGTTATAGTATTAACGTAATTACGTTACGCTTTTTAGCCTTTCTAGTAGTAACGCGTACTTCTCTAGAGGTAAGCTCTTAAGTAAGGTCTTAAGTAAGGTCTATATAGTAATTATAGTTATTAACATACTAACGTTAGTATATCTCTAACTACGTATATATATTCTCTAGCAGCTTCTTATAAAACTTCTCTACCTATTAATCTACTAGAAGCTAGCGCTTTTATATAAGGTAGAAGAAATTATTCTAGAAGTAGGTAAAGTTAGTAGCGCTTTAGTAATAAAGCTTTTAGAAATTATA